GACCGAGTCCGGTCAGCACCGACCAGACTCACCCACTGAGTCTGACGCTCCTAGTGCCGCCACACGTCCCTAGCGCCACCAACTCGTGTTCAACCAGACTCTGCCGGCTGGGTCTGGTCCCTCCAAACACCAGGGTCTGATCCAACGCCAGCACAGCCCGAGGGCAAGGGTTTGACCCCAGACCCACTCACACAGGGTCCATTCCTCTTAAGCCTAGAGTCTGGTCGCCTCTGACTTCTTCTTTTCAACTCCAAACACTTCACCCTTGTGCAAGTGTGCCAACTCCAAGTGTTCCAACACATGCGTTGGCACATTAGATTCCAATGCATATGCAAACGAGTTAGATCACCTAATGGCACTTAACAACCGCATCAACTATGATTTCTCCCCTCTTCATAGTACAGTTATCGATCCTAAATGCACTCACACCCTCTAGGTGTCTTGAGTGCCAAAACAAAAGCCTATTTGATACCTTTGCCTTGATCAATACTTGGTTTTTGTTTTTATCTTTCTTCTTTTCCAAGTTGAAGCTTGATCACCATCATCACATGTCCATCTCCATTTTCATGGACTTCATCACCATGCTCTATCACTTGGTATGTACCAACCTTGCTCTCATGACACTCATGACAAAGGTTAGTACTTAGGTTTCATCAATTAGCCAAAACCAAACTAGGGCTTTTAGATACAAAGTGCGACATCTATATTTTGAGCAGTTGGAAACTAGTTGCTGGGGATCACTCTGATGCAATCACTAGAGCTATCCGATGCTCACATTTGCGGACAGCTTTTTCAAACGGCTAGATGCTTTGTGGGGGCTATATTTATGTGTGTGGTCAGCGTTCTAAGGACTGTTGGCACCCTTGGATGATAACTTACACCCACAGAGCTTGAGTAACACTTCACACTCACTTGCATAGCTTAAGATCATAGTTGTGTGAGATTGCGAGCGTTCTAGTGCATTGCAATAGAGAGTTTGCATCTTGTGGCACTAGGTGATTCGTTCTCACAACAATGTTCTTGTTACTCTTGGTGGTTGCCACCACCTAGATGGCTTGGTGCTACGGTGGATCGTTAGGCATCACTTGGTGATTATGTGGGGATTCCGATTGGTGGCTTTATGAGGGTCTTTGTGCTTATTCCCATGGAAGTTCATCAAGAGCAACTCTAGTAAAATAAAGGAGGCTTGGAGAGGTCCTTGGTGGGCTTCACGCTAGTGCCCATGTTGTAGGGATGAACTTGTGTGCTCGCAAGGCTAGTGAAGCGGTGACCTAATAGGATCCGCTTCAATTGGGATTGAGTTGTTGGCAAGCAACCAAGCCTCGGAATAAAAATCATTGTCTCTTGCCCTCATTAGATTGCTTACTACCATTCTTGGATTTACATTCTAGTTGTGTTTGTGGTAGCTCGAGTCATAGTGGTGGTAGCCTCTCAAATGAGTAGAGTATTTTTTTAGTTGCTTTACTTATGTGGAACTCATTACTTGTATCCCTTGCCTTTAGTAGCTTGTGTGGTTTAGTTGTACTCCCTCCATCCCAAATTATATGTCATTCTAAGAATCTTGGAGAGTCAAACCATCTCAAGTTTGACCAAATATATGTGATAAGATAATAACATTTGTGATGTCAAATAAATATGATTAGATTCTTTATTAATTATATTTTCATAGTATACCTATTTGATGTCATAAATCTTTTTAATTCTCTCTATAATTTTGGTCAAACTTGAGATGATTTGATTCTCCAAGATTCTTGGAATGACTTATAGGAGGGAGTAGTAATTAAGCTTGCTACTAGAACTATTTAGGAGGGCTTGACTTGAAGTGGATAGGCTAGGCAAGTTATGGCTATTAGGATTGTCTGTTTCTAATCATTTTGCCTAGTGTTTTGTCGTTGAAGGAAATTTCAATAGGCTATTCATCCCTGTAGCCATCTAGAGATCCTTTTAGTCAGGAGTATAAATACTCAACCCCAAAAACTAGTTGTTTGGGCACTTTTCTACAAAGGAATAGAAATTTTGATCAGGACCAGAATTTTTGAGACCTGGAAAGCGCACAGATTCTTGCACAACATGTATGTGAAGAAATAACATGTACTAAAAATTCCAGTCAGGATAAAAAAAATTAAATCCATCCCGAGACGTGTGCTCAGAAATTCCGACCATACGTGAAACTTTCAAGTCTCAGCTAAAACAACCATAACATTTCACTCAAACTCCAATATAGGTGATCTTGGACTCAACGAAAAGCTTATTTAGTGGGCTATCCGTCCAACTAAAAACAAGCCCCAATGCAAGACCACCATGTGCAAGTGTTGTGACAAGTGTTTGTCTCAAGTTAGCACTTGGGCTTAGTTGTTTTGAGACTGAGACTTGTCAACACACTAAATGTTTCGTCTCTCTTAATAGTATGGCATACATATAACCAAGACTAAAGATAAATCTTCATATGCCATTTCTTCTCACTATCTCTTCATAAGGGTTTACAACTATATTTGTCTTATTCTGTTAAGCAACCATTTCAACATGTATGAGTCAACTCATATATAGCTTTAAGCCACTTCCCACTTATGATACAATAATGATTTGATGCTTCACCAAGACTGAATTCTCATGTCTTGATTAGTCCATCATAATCCCCAAGTGCTCCTTCACCTTAGCCTTGACCCCTTGGAGTCAAGATGTCGCTTACCCTTCATCTTCGCTTAGTGCCTCAAAGGCCCAACTTAGTTTATTCCGTCACATCAATTTCGCACCTTCAGTCAAATTTTGCTTTGCACCAACAATAATTTCTCATATGAAATCCATCAATCCCTTTTCATAAATCATATCCAAGTCACCGTTACAAAGAGCATTGATCACCTCATTTGACTTAGCATGCCTTCTCTTGTGTTAATGATATAAGCACATCCCAAAATAATGAGACCATAGATATGCATATGACCATGTCTCTTTCCACTGTTACACATTGGTTTGCCATTTCTTCATAGCATCGTTGCTCTTGATAGTTTCCTTCTTCATGATTCCAACTTGATCAATATCAATGCATAGTGATTTTTCAAGTCTTATCCGACTCATTCTTCAAACTTGGTCAATATCAATCAACTACTGGTCTCTTCTTATTCATGCAAAGCAAGCCATTGTTGAGACCAAATCATATACAATACCCTTTCTCTCTTTTTGTCTTATCAAATATGCTTCTTTCATCTTCAGCTGAGATATGACTGAGTTTGATATGAAAATTTGTAATGAGACCTATTCAAAAACTAATCAAGCTCATTAGTCCTTTCATTGTTTTGACATTCAACCACCAAAATCCACTAGGGGGCCTAGATGCACTTTCAACTTGGTACATCTCATATTCTCTCGAACAATTCACTCCTATATCTCACTTTGTAGATAAATAACTTATCTACATTTCTTTTTTTAGTTAAATACCAAAGTTTACCACTACTCCTATCTTTGTAGATTATGACATCTTTAGTTGCATAGTTAGCTCTATTAGGTTTTGTCTTTTGTACTTTTTCTATGTTTATTTTTAAACTCTCATAATGAATTATTTTTCTATTGTATTTGATATAAGATAATTTGAATTGTAACTTTACATCTTCTTTTATTCTAAGATGAAGTTCAATTACTTAACCAACATAACGAAGCTATTTTTTCATATAATTGCATGTGTTGATAATAGAGAAATAGATGTAATTATATTTTTGGGTTAATGTTTGTGTAATAACTGGGCAATTTATCAGCATAAAGAGGAGTACTTTGATTAAATTTGTTAGATCCATGTGGTGATTTCTAGGCCATGAGGATTAACGTGAATTATAGGTGTGATTGGTTGCTTCCATTAGCCTTAGCATGTATTAGATCTTATGCAGCATAACTTAGGTCAGCATAAACGTGTACAATGTCTTGATATTTTGTTGTCTTGCACAGTCAAGCCATCTTTTATACAATTATGTTTGATTGCTTGCATTTTGTCGCATGAGTCACCTCCATATTCTTGTAGAGGTTTCATGTTTTCAGAAGGTGAAAGTATTTTTTTTATGCCCTACCGGCTTTTTTTTTAGAAAGGGACTGGATTTCATTAAATTAAACCCCCTTTTACAACTAAGACCTCAACATAAAATAAAATTACATTGAAGCACACCACTAGGTCCCTATACTTCATCTTTCTCGCGTCCGCCGGCGTATACCCCTTCAGGAAGCTCCATCGCGACCATGGAAGTACACCAGATCTGGACCCGAGAACCACAGTCCCTACCAACAGAAGACTCCACGAACATGGAGACCGTAAAAGAGGCGTGATAAGCTCAACCACTATGGGGAGTAAAGGGCACCAAGAGCACATCGGCCATATCTTCTGGAGGTTGAACCGAACATAAGATCCGACGCCGCTAGCATCACCACCAGCAGCCGGAAGGGCAGATCCGCTGCCTCCGGTAGCATCACCGGCGGTCGGAACGACGATCCCGTAGAAGGGGGAAAATAGATCCAATAGCCCCTCGAGAAGGACTATGCCAACATACCTGATCTCTCCAGGAAGAGCATGCCATCACCGAAGACGACGACGCATCCACCAGCGATCCGGTATGAAACAGAAAGCCAGATCGAAAACATCGAAACGGCCAACCAAAACCTAGCCCGAATTATTATGGAGGAAAGAAAAATAAAAGAAGAAAAAACCTAAGAAAACAGTAGATCTGCTAAAAGGACGGACCCCCGCTCCTCCTCACCACCGGCAGGGAGGCCAGAGGCGAGGGGAACGGGGGCCGAAGGCGGCGGCGGTGGCGGAGTCGCCCCTGGGAGAGACGTGAGTTGGGAGAGACCGAAAGAGAGACATGCCCTATCAGCTTATGCAAATATGAATTGACTAATACGACCAAATAATATTGGCCTGCTTTAAGTGTTTTGCAAGCCTACGTAAGAGCTTGTATGAACAACCACACACGAACAAATTGTATTACATAACCTTTTTTTAACATGGAAGAAGATCTCCATTACTTATGACCTGATGCCAAATCATTGGCCACCAGAACATCAATACAATTTGGAATACAATCCTTGATCGGATTAGTACCCGGACTTAAACTTGCCCCAAGAGCAGCTAAACTATGAGAAACAAGATTACAAGAACGAGGGATACAAGCTACATGACAGCTAGTGAAATTGCTACTCAAACATTCTTTCAATTCCCACAGCAGGTCACTTGCCGAGCTTCGATCGAAAACCGACGAATTGACAGCTTGGATTACCGTCATAGCATCAGATTCCAGAATTAACTTCTGAACCCCCAAATCAATAGCTCTCTGTGCTGCCTGAAGGCAAGCAACAATCTCATCATGGGACGCTTCAAGCACTTTCCCTGGCCGTCCATAACCAGAGCCGATTACATCGCCATCGTCCCATCTTATAACATAGCCCCATCCACCAACCAGCTGCTCCGGGAAGAAAGCTACATCACAGTTGATCTTGACAAAACCCTAATACAAGCTAATGCAGGCAAACAAACTAGCCCTATATTCAGAAGCAAAGCGCACGCAAAAAAATGTTGCACACGCTTCTCCCCTCCACAGAAGCACCCATTTGAAATGTCATAGATTCTCCCTCCATTCCAAATTGGCTCTTCAATATACATAGCTTTTTATATGCATTCATACGCTGTCTAAATATATAGTAAAAATCATGTATGTGAAAAAAATCAAAACAACTTACAATTTAGAACGGAGGGGTATAATATGTTGTTCTGTTGCCATCGAAGTTCAAAGCAGTACATCACTAACATTAGAGGCACTATATTCAGAAATGACTCGCTACATAATTTACGTATCTAAAGATCGATGATACTTTGCCATCATCTCGTCTCAAATGATGTGAGCCCCATTTGGGTACGAGTGTGATAACTACTCTCTTTGTTCCAAATTATAAGCCGTTAAGCTTTTCTAGATATATAATTTTTTATCTAGACATAAAACATATTTAGGTATCTAGAAAAGCTAAAGCTAGAACAACTTATAGTTTGTATCAGAGGGAGTACATTGTACGTATCAGTCACACTACTGATCTTCCCCGGCTGTTGGAGTCAAAGGTGATCCTGACTGTTTAGTCCTAACTGAACACGGGTGTGCTCACCTCTCCCCTAGTATGATGCATTGTTTAGTCAGTCATGGTGTACATAGAGCGGTACGTATGGGCATCAGGTCATGCACTTTGTCTGCTCGAGATTACATATTATTATGCCTTCATCTCATATTTGCCTCTAAATCCTTTAATATTTTGTATGTCATTGAAACACGCCCATAAAAAAGGGCATGGACAGCCACACAAACTATTAAAAATTATCACATTTGCTGGCAGTATCCAACCGCACCTCAAGTCAATGTATTGCTCCCCTAAGTCCAACAGAATAATACACAGAAGTTCATTATTTCACATGCACTTTCTTAACAAAAGAAAAATCATCACACTGACTAATTACAACATCACACATACTAAAGAGCCGATATTTCTTTTATGACCTGCTCCTTGTCTGCTTCAAACTGTTCATCCTCTGATTCATAATATAACAATAGGTTAGTTAATGTCAAACTGTTATACTGGCAGATTAAACCCAAACAGTAAATGACTACAGTGACTTAATTCGATCAACACTAAAAAAACAGCTCATGCGGCTGAAAATATAGCTGAACCTCAAGTCCACAGCTAAGGTATTGTGAGAAGATTAGCAAGCAAGTACACAAACGAAAGTTAAAGCAGGTATAGTACCTTTGTCAATCTTGAATCCAGCAAAAAACCGAAGTAGCTTGCTTCTATTGGTGACCAATATGTTCACGACCTCAGGCGGTTTGTTTTTATTCGCAGCAAACAGCTGTGATGCATAATGTACAATAACCAAATGAGTTTATGCAAACTTATGTTGACAAAAAGATATTAAGGCTGTTGTACATACCTTGAACACGTGAAATGCCTCAATTTGAATATTTTTACTCGAATCCTGACAAAATAAATAAAACACTAAAAAGTTGAGAAAGGGTGGCAAATAGTACAAGGAGTCACTGGTAGAGCACTTCAAGCGTCGATGACATGTAGATTGTAAGCTCAAGTTGCCACTAGTGAAATGAGGTACACTGACCCTCAAGAGATTCATAAGAATCATGAGATTGTCTTTGGAACTAACATAGCGCATCATGACTGCAGCATTTGATCTATCCAGCAGCATATCTCCCAACAACTGAAAGGAAAAGATTAATACATGAGAATCTTGATCAATAAAAAAAAAATTGCTCCCTCTGTTCTACAACATTTGTCCATGGCACATCCGCATGGACAAAGTAAGTGATGGTTTAAAGGAAAAGAAATAGTGTGAAATGGCCATCCATACCCCTATAAAAAAATGGAGCCATCTCTCTTTTATCAGAACATTTAATTTCTGGGGAGTGGAAATACTATAATAACTACACCATTGGTATCTTCACTGGACAAATATTGTAGTACGCTTTTCTCCCGAGGTCATGGACAATTATGGTAGAACAGAGGGAGCATAGAAGATTTTGAAATGCAGCAGCAGCAACAACAACAACATAGCCTTTCAGTCCCAAACAAGTTGGGTAGACTAGAGTTGAAACCCACCAAGATCCCCACGTCACGGTTCAGGCACTTCAATAGCTGTTTTTCAAGTACTCCTATTCAAACATAGATCTCTAGGTATATCCTACACTTTCAAATCTCTTTTTATTGTTTCCCCCCATGTCAATTTCGGTCTTCCTCTACCTCTCCTCATATTATTAGCTTGGCTTAAGACTCCATAATGCACTGGTGCCTCTGGAGGTTTCCTTTGGACATGGCTAAACCACCTCAACCGATGTTGGACAAGCTTTTCTTCAATTGGTGCTACCTCTAGACGATCACGTATATCATCGTTCCGAACTCGGTCCATTCTTGTGTGACCGCAAATCCATCGCAACATACACATTTTTGCAACACTCAGTTGTTGAACATGTCGAATCTTTGTAGGCCCACATTCTGCTCCATATAATATAGCCGGTCTAATCGTCGTTCTATAGAAATTGCCTTTTAGCTTTTGTGGTACCCTCTTGTCACAGAGAATGCAAGAAGCTTGTCGCCACTTGATCCACCCTGCTTTGATTCTATGGCTAACGTCCGCATCAATATCTCCTTCCCTCTGTACCATCGATCCCAGATACCAAAAGGTATTCTTTTTAGGCACTACTTGACCTTCCAAACTCACATCTCCCTCCTCCTGTACAACTCCGTCAAAGTCGCATCTCATGTATTCGGTTTTAGTTCTGCTCAATCTAAAACATTTAGACTCAAGGGTCTGCCGTCATAACTCTAGTTTCCTATTTACTCCCGCCTGGCTTTCGTCCACTAACATTATATCACCAGCGAACAACATACACCAAGGGATATCCCCTTGTATGTTCCTGGTATCCTCATCCATTACCAAGGCAAAGAGATACGGGCTTAAGGCTGACCCTTAATGAAGTCCAATTTTAATCGGGAAGTAATCTGTGTTACCATAGTTTGTTCGAACACTAGTCACAATATTGTTGTACATGTCCTTGATGAGGGTCACGTATTTTGATGGGACTTTATGTTTGTCCAAAGACCACCACATAACATTTCTTGGTATCTTGTCATAATTCTTCTCCAAGTCAATGAAAGCCAAGTGGAGGTCCTTCTGCTCTCTAAATCGCTCCATAACCTGTCTTATTAAGAAGATAGCATCTGTGGTTGACCTTCCGGGCATGAAACCAAATTGGTTTGTTGATATCTGTGTCGTTCCTCGCAGGCGCTGCTCGATGACTCTCGCCCATAACTTCATAGAGTGGCTCATCAACTTAATTCCCCGATAATTAGTACAACTTTGGATGTCTCCCTTGTTCTTGTAGATTGGTACCAATATGCTTCTTCTCCACTCCTCAGGCATCTTGTTCGATCGAAAAATATTGTTGAACATATTGGTTAGCCATACTATAGCTATATCCCCGAGACATCTCCACACCTTGATTGGGATACCATCAGGGTCCATCGCTTTGCACCCTTTCATCATTTTCAAGACTTCTCTGACCTTTGATTCTTGAATCCTCCGCACAAAGCGTCTGTTAGTGTCATCAAACGAGTCGTCCAGCTGAACGGTGGTGTTCTCATTCTCACCATTGAACAATTTATTAAAACATTCTTGCCATCTATGTCTGATCTCATCCTCCTTTACCAAGAGTTGCTCCCTCTCATCCTTTATGCACTTGACTTGGTTGAAGTCCCCTGTCTTCCTATAGCGAGCCATAGCCATCCTATAAATGTCCTTCTCTTATTCCTTCGTACTCAAACGTCGGTAAAGGTTCTCATAGGCCCGCCCCTTTGCCTCACTCACCGTCCATTTTGCAGTCTTGTTTGACACCTTGTACTTCTCTATGTTGTTTGCGCACCTGTCATGATACAAGCGCTTATAGCACTTCTTTTTCTTAATAGCCTTTTGCACATCTTCATTCCACCACCAAGTATCTTTCGAGTCGCATCCGCTCCCTTTGGTCACTCCAAGCACCTCTAAAGCAACCTTCCGAACGCATGTTGCCATCTTCTCCCACATGCTGTTTGCATCGTCTTCATCATTCCAAGGGCCCTCTTCAATGACCTTTTCCTTAAAGACCTTTGATGCCTCCCCTTCTAATTTCCACCACTTCGTTCTGGCAACCCTAACTTGTTTGTTCCCACGAGCTTGCAACAGAAAGCGGAAGTCAGCCACCACCAGCTTGTGTTGAGCGACCACACATTCTCCTGGTATCACCTTACAGTCCACGCATGTTCGTTTATCCCTCCTTATAAGGACAAAGTCGATTTTACTAGAGTACTGGCTGCTACTAAAGGTCACTAAATGGGACTTTCTTACGGAAGAAAGTGTTAGCTATCATCAGATCAAAAGCTATTGCGAAGTCTAAGACTTCCTCTCCCTCCTGGTTCCTACTACCATATCTGAAACCCCATGAACCGCCTCGAAACCTGCACTTGATGTATCTACATGGCCATTAAGATCACCTCCTACAAAAAGCTTTTCGCTACTAGGGACAGCTCTAACCAAGCGATCTAAGTCTTCCCAGAAAAGCCGCTTAGCACTCTCATCATGGCCTACTTGGGGAGGCATACGCACTAATTACGTTTAAGACCATATCACTAATGACAAGTTTAACTAAGATGATCCTATCCCTTTGCCTTCTCACCTCCACCACACCAAAATAATAGAAGATTTTAAAATGATTCAAAATAATATATATTAAAAAAAAGCTAATTATGGTGCAAGAAATCAATGATTATAGGTGTTTTCTATGTATCTAGAAAAACCAAAATGATCTATAATTTAGGACGTAGGGAGTACATAGAAACAAAGAACTGACAAACCAATCATAATACAAAGGTAGCAGTACCTTGATAGCTTGCCTTTTTGTTATGTAGTTGGTTGATGACAGCAACCTAGAGTCGAATTCTTCAAAGAACTAAGGAATGTAAATGCAAGAGGGTTAAGATTAGAAAAGTAGAATTGCACAAAAAATAAATCATGGTGCTAATTATGACATATAGGCTTATGACAAGATACCAAGAAATGTTATGTGGTGGTCTTTGAACAAACATAAAGTTCCATCAAAATACGTGACCCTCATCAAGGACATGTACAACAATGTTGTGACTAGTGTTCGAATAAACGATGGTAACACAGATTACTTCCCGATTAAAATTGGACTTCATCAAGGGTCAGCCTTAAACCCGTATCTCTTTGCCTTGGTAATGGATGAGGCTACCAGGAACATACAAGGGGATATCCCTTAGTGTATGTTGTTCGCTGGTGATGTAGTGTTAGTGGACGAAAGCCAGGCGGGAGTAAATAGGAAACTAGAGTTTGTTAGCTAATCTACTGCCACCTTGTGTGAAACACAAGCAGAGAGGAAATGCGCGCCAACTTTACCCCCTAACAGTAATATAGTAGCAGCTGCAGTGTGCAGCGCCCGCATGGCTCACCTGCGACCTTTGGCACACATGTAGTGGCTTTGGCCAGCAGTCAGCCACTCATATACTTATCTAGTTATTTATTACGACATGTGCGCCAGACTGTTTTTAGTTAAATAGATAGAGTTGTATAAATAGGGCACCAAGGCAACTCGATAAAGAGAACTCAGATTTGCCATCACACGACATGGCCTCAACCCCAACGCCGTTGTCTTGTATTGTGCGTGCTTACTCTGCTTCTTCCTTCTTCTTCTAGCTCGATCCGTAGTGTGTGTGGAGTGCGGACACAACAGTATAGTGGTGCAGGAGACTAGCGGTGCAGTCCGGGAGACTAGTGGTGCGGGAAGACTAGTGGTGCGTGCGGAAGACTAGTGGTCCAGGAGACTAGTGGTCCGGCCCGGGAGACTAGTGGTCTGGAGACTAGTGGTGCGGCACGGGAGACTAGTGGTCCGAGACTAGTGGTCGGAGACTAGTTCACTATCGTCGACGGTGATCCCGTGGGCCAACAAGTGATATCGAGCCCGTATAAGCGCCGCCGCCATTCTAACCGATGGCGATGATGATGATGGTTTGGAGTTAGGCGATGGCGGCAGCACTTGCGTGTGCTTGACCACTACCGGCAGAAGGTAGTTGTCCGCCGCAGTGCGGGATCGGCGGCACCACTTGGCCGACGCCGACTCGCACTAACTATGGAGAGTGGTCGGTGACCATGAAGGTCAAGCTCGAGCCCGGCGCCTCTGGAATGTCATTGATAAGGGCACCGACGTGGAAGAAGACGACATGTCGGCGTTGGAGGCTATCCTCGCCTGCTTTGTCATGCGTGAGTATAGGGAACCGTTGAGGACGAAGAGCTCACTAAGGGCGTGGCGTGGAGGCCATTGCGGCGATGCGCGCCGGTTCCGACCGCGCAAAGAAGGCAACGCCCCGGCTTACAAGCAGAGTACGCAAACCTCAAGTTCAAGGATGGTGAAACGGTGGAGGACTTCTCCTCCGCTGCAGACGCTCATCGACAAAGTCAAGAGCCACGGCGTCTACCATCGACGAAGAGGAGGCGGTCTCCAAGTTCCTCCACTCCGTCTTAAGGCAAAGTACATCTAGATCGCTCTCTCCATAGAGACGATCTTTGGACTTGTCCACCCTCACCATCGAGGATGTGGCGGCCGTCTGCGGGCGGTGGACGGCGCTGGTGCGGCGGCGATAAGAACGGCGACGCTGAAACTCCTGGCGACGGAAGAGGAGTGGGCTGCTTGGCGAAACTCCGGGAAGGCGACCTCCTCTCCGGTCAGCGGTGGCAACGGCAAACATCATGGCGGGGGCTTTCTTCGGAGAAGAAGCAAATCGACTCAACGCTGTCGGTGTTGCGGGAAGATGGGTCATTGGGCACGGGAGTGCCCAAATCGCAAGAAGGAAAAGAAGGCTCGAGCTCACCGGCGAAAGCGGCGATGATGAGATGAGGCTACTATCCTTATGGCGACGTTACGTACCGCACGCACGCCGAGGCCATGGAGGGGGAGGAGGCGACGACGGTGGAAGGATCTAGCAAGGCCACGAAGACCGTCAACCTCGACGAACCACGCGCCCAAGTCCATCTTAGGCATGTGGGCATCGACCGGGAGCGCGGTGGTATCTGGACTCGGTGCCGGTAACCACATGACGGGCTCCAAGGACTCCTTCTCCGAGCTCGACGGTGATGTTACCGTGACGGTGAAGTTTGGTGACGGCTCAAGGGGTGGCTATCCAAGGGCGCGGCACCATCATCTTCGAATGCCGAGAACGGGGAGCACCGCGGCGCTAACGGATGTATACTACATCCCATGCGCGTTCCCAAAGATTGGTCACCGGATGAGCGCGATAGCGCGAGTTCTCGATCAAGGACGGCGTTACGAGGATCGAGATCGGGGCGGCGACTTCTCACCAAGATGAAGAGGTCCTCGAACGCTTGTACCGCCGACCAAGGTAGAGCGGCCGGTTTGCTGGCGGCAAGGCACTCACGAGGAACTGTGGATGTGGCATGCCCGGTTCGGACATCTCGGCCGACGCCGCTTGGTCGGTCGGGGAAAGATGGTCCGAGGGCTACCCCATCAAACACGGAGGCGAAGCCGTGTGATACCGCCGCCGGAAAGCGAAGGATGCTACCTTTCCCAAAAGGCGGCCAAGTATCGCGCGAAGGAAGCTCTCGAGCTAGTTCACGGCGACCTCTGCGGGCCGATCACGCTTTGCTACATGCGGTGGTCGGCGGTACTTCCTCCTACTCATGGACGATTGCGATCCGCTACATGTGGTCGCAACTCTGACGAAACAAGGACGAAGCGGCGGTGGCGATCAAAAAGTTCAAGACGCAGCGGCGGAGGCCGAGAGCGGCAAGAAGCTCCGTGTCGAGGATCGATCGGGTGGCGAATTCACTTTGGTGGAGTTTGCTACGTCTTCGCGCGGATCAAGGTGTGGAGCAACATCACGCCGCGCCCGCATTTCGCCACAATGAAATGGCGTGGTGGAGCGACGGAACGAGGCAAAGGGTCGGCATGGCCCGATCCATGATGAAGGCCAAAGGGATGCTTAAGCAAAATTCGGGAGAGGCGGTGACCACGGCGGTGTTCATCCTCAACCGCGCTCCAACCAAAGCCCTAACGAGCAAGACACCGTTCAAGCACGAAATACGGAGCAAGCCGAACGTGTCATTCCTCCGGACATTCGGTTACATCGGCCACGCCGGGAAGACGAAGCCGAACCTCACCAAGCCGGAGGATGTGAGGAGCACACCATGGTGTTCTGGGCTACGCGGAGGGTACCAAAGCGTCTGGCTCTATGACCCACGCGAGACAAGGTGACTGTCTCATGACGTTGTGTTCAACGAGGAGGCGCTTGGGGCCGCACACCGAGCACGGGGAAGCGGAGGCTTCACCAACACCTTCGTTGTCGAGCACTTGGTCATCCACGGCGGTGGAGACGCCATGAACAGTGCCACGCACTCCGGGAGGAGCGCCGAGCACTCCGGCGGTAGTCGAGCACTTCGGGCAAAGGCTGAAAGCACTTCAGAGGGATGCCGAGCACACTCCGGGAGGAGTGTCGAGCACTTCGGAGGAATGCCGAGCATGCCGTGAGTGGAGCCAGGAGGTTCTCTGATGGCGGCGACCACTTCGGACGGCACCGAGCACTCCGTGGCGGAGCCAAGACGTCTTCTCGTGGTTCCGACCACTCCAAGATCGAGAAGTGGGCAATCCTACGGTGTGGCCGAACACTGCAGAGTTATGACGAGCGATCGAGTAAGCGATCTTGAGCACTTCAAAAGCTATGTGGGGCACTCCGGCGGAAGAAGGAACTCCATCACCCCGATCGAGTTCGCCTCACCTCCAAGTGACATCACCGAGTTCGTGGACGCCTACCACGAAGGTGAGGAGAGTTGAGGTTCCACAGTGGACGACATCGTCGGCGCACACGTCCCTCGTGTATGGCGGGTAGGTCGCTTAACGACGCAGAGCTGCTACTCGTCGGTCTGCAGAGAACCACCCACGTTCGCGCTAAGCCGAGCGCTGATGGAAATGGCGACGGGCAATGCCGGAGGAGATAAAGGCGATCGAGGAAAACGAGACTTGGCGGCTCGTCGATCCACCCCGAAATCTGCCGTCCGATCGGCTGAAGTGGGTGTACAAAAGTCAAAAGGGACGAGCTCGGCGCCATTGTCAAGTACAAAGCGCGCCTCGTCGCCGAGAGGCTTTGTCCAAATAGCGAGGGCATCGACTTCGAGGAGGTCTTTGCACCAATGAGCGCGCGCGTGGAGTCGGTCCGTTTGCTACTTGCTTTGGCGGCAGCAAAGGACTGGCGCGTCCATCACTTGGACGTTAAATCGGCCTTCCTCAACGGCGAGCTAGCGGAAACGGTCTTCGTCAGGCAACCTCCAGGGTTCGCTGTCAAGGGAGAGGAGCACAGGTGCTCCGATCACGCAAAGCGCTCTACGGGTCGCGGCAAGCCCTCGAGCATGGAATGCCAAGCTTGACACCACGCCGGGCGCGAGCTTGGGTTTCAGAGGCGCGCAATCGAGCACGCGCTTTCTACACGCGACGACGGGAAGGAAGAACTCGTGGTCGGCGTGTATGTGGATGACTTAATAAATCACCGCGCAGCGCGCACGGAGGATATCAACGACTTCAAGCGAGAGATGGCAGCTTCGCTTTCGAATGAGCGATCTCGACGCTTCTCCTACTACCTCGACATCGAGGTGAGACAGAGGAAGGAGGAACTCACGCTCGGACAAAGCGCGTATGCCTCCAAGCCGTTGGAGAGGAGCGGCATGGTGGAGTGCAAGCCATGCGTGACTCCGATGGAGGAGAGCGGTGAAGGCGACGAAGCGACAAACACCGCGGCGAAAGTAGATGCAACACTCTATCGCGAAGATCGCTTCGGTGGTCTGCGCTACCTAGTCCACACAAGGCGGACATTGCGTTATTGTGGGCTACGTCGGTCGCTTCATGGAGGATCCCAAAGAGGATCATCGGGTCATGGTGAAGCGGCTACTACGCTACGTCAAGGGGACGGTGAATCATGGAATCATCTTCCCAAAGACCGGGGAAAGTAGGTCTGCGACTCACGGTGTTCGGATGCATATATGGCGGGGGACATCGACGGACGACGGAGCACCTCTGGCGTACTTTCGTCTTCCTCGGTCGCCCCCAATTTCATGGTCGTCGCTAAAATGTAAGGTGGTGGCGCTATCTACGTGCGAGGCGAGTACGTGGCGGCGGCCACAATGGCGTGCCAAAGTTGTGTGGCTACGCCGGGTTACTTTGAAGGCAAGCTAACCGGCGTGGAAGCTCACCCACCAAAGACCGATGGTGGACAACCACCCGCCATCGCCCTCGCGAAGAATCCGGTTCGCACGACCGAGTAAACACATCGACGTGAAGTTCCACTTCCTCGTGGACTGTGTGTTGATGGAGGCGATCGTCATCGAGTTTGTCGAAACCGGTCGGCAACTCATGGACGACGTCCTCACCAAGCCGCTTCGGACGACTTCGACTCACGGAGTGAAGGAGATGATCGGCATGGAGGGGTGCAAGGGTTAGCGAGAGGATTAGGGAAGATTGTTAGCTAATCTATCGCCACCTTGTGTGAAACACAGCGAGAGGAAGACGGCGCCGACTTTACCCCTCATGTCAGAATACAAGAGTCAGCAGCAGTCTGCGCCGCGATGGCTCACTGCGCAAAGATCAGAGGCACATGCAAAGGGTTGGCAGGCAGAGTCAGTCCTCAGATACTTATCTAGTCTTTTATTCTGACATGTGCTACTTGACTTTAGTTAGATAGATAGAGTTGTATAAATAGGGCACCAAGGCAACTCGAAGAAAGAGAGCTCAGATTTGCCATCACACAGACAGGGCCTCGGCCAACGCTGTTGTCTTGTATTGTGCGTGCTTACTCAGTTCTCCCTTCTTCTTCTAGCTCGATCCGTAGTGTGTGGGTACGGACACAACCGGTACAGTGGTCTGGGAGACTAGTGGTCTGGGAATACTAGTGGTCTGGTCTGGGAGACTAGTGGTCTGGGAAGACTAGTGATCTGGTCTGGAAGACTAGTGGTCTGGGAGACTAGTGGTCTGGTCTGGGAGACTAGTGGTCTGGGAGACTAGTGGTCTGAGACTAGTGGTCTGGAGACTAGTTCACTATCGTCAGACGGTGATCCCGTGGGCCAACAGAGTTATGGCGGCAGACCCTTGAGTCTAAAGGTTTTAGATTAAATAGAACTCAAACCGAATACATGAGATACGACTTTGGCGGAGTTATACAGGAGGAAGGAAATATGAGTTTGAAAGGTCAAGTAGTGGCTAAGAAGGATACATTTCGGTATCTAGGATCGATGCTACAGAGGGATGGAAATATTGATGCGAGACGTTAACCATAGAATCAAAGCAGGGTGGATCAAGTGACGACAAGCTTCTTGCATTCTCTATGACAAGAGGGTACCACAAAAGCTAAAAGACAAGTTCTATAGAACAGCGATTAGACCGGCTATGTTGTATGAAGCAGAATGTTGGCCTGCAAAGATCCGACATGTTCAACAACTGAGTGTTTCAGAAATGCGTATGTTGCGATTGATTTGCGGTCACACAAGAATGGACCGAGTTCGGAACGATGATATACGTGATCGCCTAGAGGTAGCACCAATTAAAGAAAAGCTTGTCCAACATCGGTTGAGGTGGTTTAGCCATGTCAAAAGGAGACCTCCAGAGGCACCAATGCATTGTGGAGTCCTAAGCCAAGCTAATAATATGAGGAGAGGTAGAGGAAGACCGAAATTGACATGGAGGGAGGCAATAAAAAGAGATTTGAAAGCTTGGAATATACCTAGAGATCTATGTTTGAATAGGAGTACTTGGAAAGCAGCTATTGAAGTGCATGCACCGTGACATGGGGATCTTGGTGGGTTTCAACTCTAGCCTACCCTAAGTTGCTTGGGACTGAAAGGCTATGTTGTTGGTGGTGGTGGTGGTGGTGCTAATTATGACATATCAAGTAGACTAGAATAGTCTATCATGCCAGCCAAACTAGGGATTGAATTAACCAATTATTCAAAGGGTCATCTATATAGAATTTCTGATGGTTCATAACTAAGACTCATCGATACAAAACTTCTAGTAGTTCACCACTACGGTTTAAGCCTCTAAAGAGGGCAATACAGTGAATTCAGCTTGCCAACAATTCAACGATGTAACCAATTCAATCAGGTTAGACCTAACTAAAGACAATATTAAAACCAGGTAGATATTGACATATTTAACCACAGAATTTAATGTTGCACTACAACTTGACTAAGATCATATATGGTTTGAACATATACAGCGAGAAGAAGGATACAAAATTTTCGTAAATGAAATAAGTTTGAATAATGTTCCCAAGGTAAAAATACTGACCCAATCATAATTGTTGGAGAGAAATTCAGCCACGGTTGCTTTATGCCTTGTCAATAGTTCCTGCTTACAGTAGAGCATAATATGACCAGACTAGACCACAATATATGAAAAATACTTTTAAAGGTAAAAAGTGAAGCAACTCGCCTTAAAGGTAGCAGAAGCATCAGAAGCTATGTCAAAATTTGGAAGCTGTATATAGTCGAAGAACTTTTTCATGTGTTCAGACTCTAAAACATACCTGTCAATGAACAAATTATATAAGAAAATAGCACCAAAAGTCCACAGGAGCTTCCAATTTCAACAATATTTTTGCACTTATGGATGTCCAGATTGGTAATCATTATTTAATTTAAATCTTGTTTTGATATCCTATAATATCCTGGGGATAAATAGAATCCATGGAATAAAACCACTGACCTAATCTAAATCATTCATAGTGATTCTAGATGTGCACAAAAACTGTCCGCAAGAGCTTCTTGTTTAGTTCTGTTTTGTTTGTCTTTTGGCCTTTTTAGGCCAGCTCCTGCTGTTTGGCATCTTGCCAGACAGGTTTGTACAGTTTTTTGCCTCTTTTAATAAAATCTCTACAGTGGGGGCCTCCACTGCTGTATTTAATGTTCAAAAAAAATAAAGGATCACACTATGCACACCCTTTGTTGAACTGGGTGTGATCAGACTTCTATCAGATAGGAAAACAAATAACAAAACTTGATCTGCTATATGAAAGACATCACCCAAAAAAATGAAATCTGCAAAGCAGGCATTCTGCTACATAAATTATTCAAAATATTTCCTTTTATTAATTAGCAATTTTGATGTTCTATACTGCTCAAAGACTTAGAAATGGAATTCTATTATGGCAAACGAGAATGTATATTTGACTAATATAGGGATTTCCATTGGCGGTTCTTGAATGAGCATTTCATGGGTATGGCCGTCTTTGCTAATGATACAAATGATGTGATGCTTGAATCTTGATTAATCAATTAACTGTGATATAATATATATTGTGTTGTATTAACGTACTATCAACATTTAAAATCAGTAGTATCACCTTGCAATGCTTTGGTGGCGAATACATTCCCTCAACATAGCACCATAATGTAAAGCAATGTCCATATTCTCATACCTGTATGGTGAAGAAATATATAGTGGAAGATGAAATAATAAGTGAAATAAATAAAGCCCATCCCATATTATCAACACTACACAACTAATTCCAGAACAAGCTAATGAGACATTACAAAACTAAAACACATATTTTGTGCTGCAATGCTATACATATATTTTCACCTCTGCGCACATATTTATAAATTCAGGTGTTAACTAACATGCATGAACAGTGCTATCAAGTCGTCTAGTCAATCCTAGTCGCCATGGGACCGACCAGGCAACTAGTCACAATTAGTCATCGACTAGGCGACTAGTCGGCCCCTAGTCGTCCTATATATATCAGGACTAATATACCAAATATATTACTAAAATACTATATGTTCTAGAGTATAAATCAAGCATGAAGATAACTCTAGGGTGGTGGCTGCATGTAGGGTTGCAAATTGGGATAAAAAACATGAGCCCAAGTGCCCTAAGTCATCCCAGATGCAGCCCATGTCCACAGCTGCCCACCAATTCCATTTTGTTCCTGGTCGTCCGACTAATCATGATTAGTCGACAACTAATCAGGCGACCAGAAAACTAATCGGCCTAATCGAGTTGCAGCCCCTAGTGGAGTCCAGGATACCGACTAGGACGACTAATTGTGATTAATGGGATGACATGATAACACTGCATGAACATACAAGTAATCTAATCTGTCAAATGACGATAAGTTGGTAACTGTACAGTGTTGAGTTGAAGTGTATAAGGGGGGGAAACATTCTCAAATACATAGATTTAAGCACCAATAAAGTATCTGGGAGAATGAAATGCAACCCACATCAGACCAAAAAAACAGTCTTAAGACTGTGAACATGAAAATTTATGTTTCAATGACTTCATTTGGTTATTCAGTTTTACAAATCAAATAGTCAGGAACACGTGGATCAGTGAACACATGGATAGCACTAACAATCTCAAAGATAAAAGTGAGCTAAACAAGCAATATAATAAACGTTTCCAATGATTTATTTTGATAGAAAAAGGAGAGAGAACTAATCATCATTAGTTATTTTTAATTGGACAATAATCTTACCCTAAAATTAAAATGTCCAAGAGATCTTTATTTGACTCTAGGTACTCAGACGCAACTATCTTTGAGGATACTTGCTGTCTTTGCAAGTTTGCAACAACTTGAGAAGCATCTTTCCTAGTCTGAAACAATCAAAAGTAGAGATACATCCATAAGAACGTATCATGTTTTTTGTGTAAAAACGACAACAAGAGAGGTATATATTATATATGTAATAAAAATTATTCCAGTAGTACTGTCAATCTACATTCAGAAACAGGTCAAATTCCATACCTCCAAATTTAGTTTTGGAAGATGTATGATTAATAGCCGTAAAGTGTTCTCCCTGAAGAATTCTTGGGTCAGTTGAACACATGCTTCAGTTACAGGCTCTGATTCACCATTGCCGTAAAGGATAGACTTCATGTCCCTGATATTTTTGCTTAGCTCTGCCATCTGCATAAACTAATCCTTAGGCCAGCTCATTTTAATGGATATAAGACATTGCACATTAACAATATATTTTTCTTCTTCTATAGATGGCCACAGGCATCAACAAGTATCCAAAGGTTCACATATATAGCATATAATTCTGAATATGAAGCTGTTCGTACAAAGTCCAGGTTGGTGGTTGGCTTGTGGCAACTTCGACAGAACTTAGGTGCTTACGGTATCCAAGTATTACATACTTTTGCATACAGATGGTGATATCTACTAGTAACTCCACAGTGAGCTAGGATGACAAGTTCATGGATGATAACCTACAAAATGCTCATATTTGCACCAACTATTATCATAACTATGTAGCTCAGTGCTGCCGATACACCTAAAAACATATTTCCAGAAGTTCCATGAGATATTCCCTTTATATTTGCTACAATTTGATCATGAATGACATCAAGGAAACTAGGGCACCGTGGCTGCCAGCACTATTTCCATCACGAGATTAATGTTATGCATCACAAAGTAAGTAAAGATCAGCCCACATTCGCGAGCAATCAGGGCGGAACCAGCTGGCACAAATGGGGAATCGAAGGCACGAAATTCCTAGACAGAGGGTGAGACCCGATCTCACCTTCTCCTCGCGCTTGGCGTCGCCGCTCCGGGAGCCCGAGTGGAGGTCGAGCTGGACGAGGCCCTCGCGCGTCTGCCGCACGATGTCGACAGGCGTCCGCGGCTTGGACTTGAAGAGGCCCTTCATCTTGGCCCCGTCGTCCGCTGCCGCCGCAGCCGCGGCCACAGCGGCGGTCAGGCGCGGTGGGGAGGGCAAGGGCGAGGCCTTGGGCCGGCTCCGCCCCGCCGACCCGAACGAGAAGCAGCCGCGCAGGAACGCCACGGGGTCGCCGCGCGGGAGGGCCCTCGGGGGGCCCTGCTCTCCTCCGCGCGGGGCCGGGAGTTCGATCGGAGCGCGGTGAGGGAGAACGCGGACGCGAGGGTACGAGGAGGGCTCGAGCTCGTCGTGCCCGTGATGCGCTGGGGAGGGGACGAGGGGTGATCCGGTGATGGGCAGACAGGGCGGTGGGGCACGAGAGGCCGGTCGCGTTTCGCGACGCTTCCTAATCCTGCCTGTGACTGTCAGCGTCTCGCTGTCCCGGTCTCAGTTCTGCGCTCTCTCTGCTCTGCTGTTTCTGCTGCCCTTTTCTGCCGCCTTTTTCTTCGCACGCCATCTTTGGATTCGTGGCGACGACGAGATCCTCCCTGGAATGAATCAACGGAAATCCACGGCTCCACGGCCGTCCGTCCACGAATATGGTTTGGTATTCATGTCAAATCGTGATTAATTAAGAAATAAAACTCGTGCAAACGGCCGTCAATCAAATCAAACTAAAAACAGAGACAAAACTTATGGAGATGTGCTTTTTTTTTTGGCACAAGATGGAGATGTGCTTTAACTTTCACTGTTTTAGGCCCTGTTCGCTTCGTTGAAAAAACAAGTCGAAATACTATTCCGGCTGATTTGTTGTGAGAGAAAAAACATTGTTCCAGTTAAAGTATGGATTATAAGATAAGCGAATAGGTCGTTAGATTCTTAGGATGCCTTTTGTGCGTTTCCTCCTTGCACAGCACGGGTATTCCGAGCATTAGCCCACGTAGAATTTTGATCGATACATGTGCCCTGATATACAGCCTGTTTGGTTGGCTGGTTCATATCGTTGCTGGTTCATAAAGAAGTACTGCTGGCTGGTTTGTGTGAGAGAAAAATATTGTTCCAGCTGAAAATTTACGATCGTTTACGACAAGCCATAGCCAAACGAACAGGCCGATAATAGTGCACCTAGGATGCTAGAACTCTAGGACCAACACGACGAGACGGAACAGATGCCCTATTCGTTTAATCGATAAGCTATGATTAAAAGTATCGTTGACTGATTTGTTGTGAGTAAACAAGCCAAGAGCACGAGAATATACGCATGGGGGTGGGATATGTCGTGTGGCTCTCACCTGCAGCCTGTGTAGATGCCTTCTAAAGTTTGGAACATCAATTGGCAAAGTGAAAACTCAACCACTTCGTACCGCAAAAGGGCGCACTCGTGTGCTGTGTTATAGTATCTTCGATCTCAGATTTATTTTCTGTCTACTGGATGGCCGTGCGTTGCGCGGGTTTCACAAATTTTTATCTATATAATAAGACCACGCACGTGGCTGGCAGGTTAGACCAACGTATTAAGGAATCTATAAATATAATTACATAGAAAATATAAAGCCCGTTATAATTACATAGAAAATATAAAGCCCGTTTCATGATCCTTGTCATGTATATCGTGTAGATCTAGTTTATAGAAAATATAAAGCATGTTTTGTTTTTCTATTACTTGTATAATTTATTATTATGCATTTTATAATTTTAAGTTGATTTGATCATTTTTTAAAATAATTAAAGCTAGTAAACAATTTTGCATTGGGAACCTTGAACTATTTTTAAATCCATTCAGACCCTTTTTCTCTTTTTGTCGCTGTTCGTGGCAGGGCCTCGGCAGCATGCGCCGTTGCCATGGCCTTCCTAGCCATCTCCGTCCGTGTTCCACAGCGAGAACCTGGCCTACTCCAAGTTTTGGCGCGTCGGTAATGGCAACAGCTACTGCTGGAGACGAAGCAGCAGAAGCATGGCACCGACATGGTCCTGCTGCCGAGCCGACTTGGGATGCTGCTGCTCTACGCCCCGGCTTTCGTCGCCTCGCCCGCATCCTTTGTCATCGTGCGCTACCAGCGTTCGGCAAGTGACCAGTGCCATGGGCAGGCCGTGCGGATGTGGCCAAGGCATCGTTATTGGCCGATGTCAAGGATGGGCGCGACCGGTGGCACGATGTCCTGTGGTGTTGTGAGATCTGATGTCGTTGACGCGTGCGGCCTGGTGGCGGACTTCGCCATGAGATTGTCCATGGATGTCTAGCACATGATCTTCGATAAGGACAACATTAAAGGATGTGCTCCCGCGATCAAGGATTGGATCAATATGCTTTTTCCATAATTGACATGTCACGGTTGACCTGTAGAGTCCGATGAAAAATCATATGTTGCACATGCGGCGGGATTGACTGGCTGAAATCAGATGATTCTATTTTATATTTTCTTTTGCGTTGCAAAGGAAAAATACCATAATAATTCAAATTTGAGTCCGAGCGATGGCATGCTTCAGCTTAAGAAGTTGAAGGCCACTGCAAGAAATGGGTGTCGTATCTTAGACTTGAAAATCATCTAACTCATCTTTGATTGGTGACCAGCTGCAGTTTGGTGCACATACAAAGCACATTTATCTTCTGGTCAAACTATTAAAAAATTAGATTTTAAATCTCTACACCTAAAAAAACCTAAGGGCGCATTTTTATCTTTGTATTTAATTTTTTATATGCTGGTTGAAAATTTTCCTTATTTTAGTAGAACATATATTTATGCCGTATCTTTTTTATTTATTTTTTCTGTTTTTTTTTAGCTGGTATCGATTCTGTTTCCGTTTTTTTTTCGTCTTTTTACTCGTTTTCTTATTTTAGTCGGGTCTTGTGATCGGCCAAGCAATCCGGTGGAACAACCGAGCGTTGATGCGTTGAGTGATCTAGATTGCTTTGCATGCAGACATGCAAAGTAGCAGGCGCTATGGTACTCGATTCCGTGGCTGCGAGAGTTCGTATCCGGTTTATACGGGCCGGGTAGCGCGGGTTGGTTTCCTGAACGGGTGCGACGCCGTGACGGGAGCTGAGCCGAGGCGGAGCGAAAGGCGGGTGATCGGACGATACACTTTTTTTTTTTTTTTAAGGTGGCAACATATCATGTGCAAATCAACCAATTTGTGCAAATTTAGAAACTATTAATCAAATTACTAGATGTTGATCCAATGGATGGGGTGAGAGGGCTTAAGCGCAAAAAAAAAGGCCGGCGGGTGGGGGGCTTAAGTGCAAAAAAATCTCACCTCTCGCTCCATCCATTGGATCAGCATCTAGTGGTTATAATTGGTAGTTTCTAAGTTTACACAGGTTGGTTGGTTTGTATCTGATACGTTGCCTTTTAAGGTATAGATATAGAGATAGAGATTGAATTTGAGGAACAATTTTATAATACATATTTATTACTTAATATTTAGGCAACAAAAAAACCTCACATTAATTCTCAACATCTAAAAAATAGTTACCATAACCAAAGAAATTGGTCCCGTTCGCTGGTCTGTAACTTGGCTGAAAAACACTGTTCCGACTGAATTGTTGTGAGAGAAAAACACTGTTGGCTGGTTTGGTGAATAGTAAAATGAGAAGGGGATCAGCTTAAAGATGGCAACGGGGAATTCCCCGTCGGATTTTGCCTCCCCATCCCCGTCCCCGCGGGGGAGAAATTTCCCCCTCCCCGTCCCCGCCACGGCTCGCGGGGGACGATCTCTCCCCATCCCCGAACCCGAGCGGGGAAACATACCCGACGGGGTCCCCGTCCCCGCTATACAAAGATCTATAGTACTCAAATCAATTATACAGAAGAAGAAATGTCGACCATAGAACGCATCTTGCAACAAGAAATAAGATGCTTAGTTTAGAGACCAGCACACTTGCTTACAAAATTTGCAAAGAAATCGCACACAAGATCTCACAAATCCATTAAATCCACTCGTGCTTGTGTCAGGATGAAAAGTAGACACAAGATGACAAGAGCCACGTGCTGCTGTCCACTATCAAGAATTCAAGATGAGAAATAGGAGACGCAAGATCCATCTTTTCTACAAATTGAAGCACCGAGCAGTAGACTGTAGACGCCACCTGCTGCTGCTGGTGTGGCTGGTCTCCTGCATCGGGACCGTGGCCACGGTCTGGTCGGGCCGCTGGGAGCACCGAGCCTACCACGAGCCAAGGAGGGGCGTGGGGAGATGGCTGGCGTAGACTCACGGTGGCACTCCGCATGGCGCGAATAAGTCGAAGCTGCTGGTGGTGGCGCACCTGGTGCTCTGGCGGCTGTGGGAGTGGTTGAGGTGGACGAGGAGGCTGGGAAGTCGAGGGATTAGGGTTAGATTTTGTATATATACTTGAACCGCTGCTGGGCCTTCGTGGGCCGATTTGAACGGACCTGAAGCCTGCGACTGCGACACTTCTATATGCTCTAAGCGGGGCGGGTTTGCGGGGATCGGGTTCGGAGGATGGATCCCCATCCCCGTCCCCGCCAGCCCCGACGGGGATTGTTTTCCTACCACTTGGATCCTCGTGGGGGAGAAATTGGCCCCGTCCCCGTCCCCTAATGGAGGAATTCCCCGCGGGGAATCGGGGATCGGGGCCCCGTTGCCATCTTTAGATCAGCTGGCTGGCTGGTTCAGACCAGACCAGCGAACAGCCCCATTAACTATGTGAATGTCGATAAAGTACAGGAGTACACCACCCATTACGTAAAAATTAACCAACAAAAACCGTTAAGCCTATATCTACATACACACAGCACATAGAATTCCTAGAATTTAGAACATGCCCTCTTCGAGATACATGTTTTTGAATGTTTTTATATCAAATTGAATCGATTTTTTATAAGATAACTACATAATTCTTATGAAATTCCTTGGCTCTAAAGGGACCCTTAGACTTAACCGGTGGTTTTGGGCTCTCTTACTCGAGCAATAAGATGGAATGAAAGAGATTGTGCGGAGGGGTTGAATCGCAAAAAATGATTTGAGCGGATAGATCAATCAAAGATGAGATAATGGGGATAAGGATCGAAGAAGGATAATCGCCAAACTAA